ATTACAACACCCCCACGGCTGAAAGGGCGAGCATGTTTGGTGGGACGGTGATTCGAACCCGCGACCCTAACCACCTGGCCATGTTATTTTATTGTTTGTTTGGATTTAAGTACAAAGCTACGCAATGGGCTATCGCTGATGTGCCCACCCTGGGTATCGAAATCCGGTTTTGAAGTGTTATACGCCTTCAGACTTATATACACAGCTAACCTACAAGCGGGGGGGGGGGGACTGTTATCTTACTGAAACGTTATTTTAACCTGTGTTTTCAACTTGTGTAGACTAAGCTGTGTACGTTTACCAATATATTTTTGAACAGTGCTATACGCCATAATTGACTTAACGATCATATGATTGTTATTTCTTCCACACCCTCGACAAGAGAACGAGTAAATTCCCATAACTTACCAAAAATTTTCTTTTCATTCCTGGTTCTTGCCTGAAGTATATGAGAGAATCATCAGGAAAGTTAAAACTCGGCGATCGTTTCAATTCTCTATGAGATTCGTTCAGACAGTTGATAAAGACCTCCAAGTTAGAGCTGTTAGCAGACACGCTTAACCACATCCATTCACGAAGATGGTCTCGAGATATTGGGAAATCCTGGTGTACAACTTGGCTGTGAACACGACTTTGTTGGAGGCCGTCACTTTCTTTAGTTGTTAAATTAAATCTGACCTGTGGAAAAACCAACGACCTCTGGACCGCATAAGAAAACACCAGTTTTCTTGATCGTGGGTTAATGGTCAAACTTAACAGGGGTGACGTTTTGCCTGGTGTATGTATACTTAGCAGTGTAGCTATGCTCTTTAAGTTTGGCTTGAAGACGAAAAAAGCCGAAAAGGATTCTTTCAAATTTTGAAAAAATAGCTTAGTAACTATCTTTGGAACCTGAACATGGTTCATTCCGGAATGTAAGCGCCAAGATGGTAGCCAGGATATAGGTCCACTAGTTTCACTCACTCCCCGCAAGGTGGTGTTGATATTTAATTCTTTCAAAATATTGAGCTCTGAAAATAAAATGAAACAAAATTTTTACTTGGAAGTAATTTTTAAAAATCTGATCGAAACAGTATTTACTAAAGCAAATTACATCATTTCATGTAGATTAGAACACGATGCGTTTAAAACATCTATAACAGTATCATAACATACGCTAATCTGTTCATTAAATTTTTGTAAGATCGAATTGTTTTGACATTTTGTATTGTTTCACCGACTTTTAACGAATGCAGTATTTCTGTTAAGCATAAAGTTACACAATGCTTTATATGTTCTATGCCCACGGAAGTATCGGATATAAGCGAACTAAGCCCTCAGATTTATCGATGATTCATCTAAGAAGGGGTGGGGATACAACACTAAATTTCAAAGTTTATTTGTATGGAATTAAGCACAAAGCTAAACACTGGGCTATCTGTACTCTGCCCACCACGGGCATCGAAAGCCGATTTCTAGCGTTATAAGTCCGCAGACACACTGCTGTGCCGCTGGAAGGCAACTTCAAAGCTAGAAAAAAATCAAAGTAAACAACTTAAATAATGAAGACACATTATAGTATATAAAACCTTAAGCGCTACAACATTAAAAAATGAAACTACAATAGACTTGAATAAATTATCTGTGATAATCATATTTAACCACAAAAATTACCTAAATAATTAAAATGCATTAACACAAACACCTGGAAAGACATTAATTAAATGGAATATATATATATATATATTAATTATTTAAGAATAATTAATTAAACTCTCTAAATATCTTAGAATAAAAAAATTACTGCAAATATTAATAAATATGCATAAATCTCGTAAATTAAAAATGGGTCAATAGCTCTACAAATGTTTAAAAATATCCTTATGTAAAAGAGACACTAACATAATTACAAAACGTCTCAAATATTCAAACAAAAAAGTAAAGTAAATATACAAAACCTTAAAGACAAGAAATATCCCGATAACATAAGACAAAAAGTTCAAAAGGGGGATAGGAATTACCAATATTTTTCCATAAGATTACTTGGTTCTCACTTACACACGAATGTTTATAAACCAATCTGTTGTCCTAATTTAAAATGGTCATATGGGTCACGAAGTAACTATAAAATCTTAAGATCGTAAAATAACATTGTACCATTAGAGCAGAAAAGTTGAGTGGCATTCATCATGGAACAGTCAATAAGTTTTCGTTACGATTAATGCAAGTCAAAGGTTAAAGATTAAGCAAATTAACAGTGTGGGTTTCCGTAAACAGTAACAACACTGTGAAGTTTTTAATTTTTGCAATATATCCTCTTCATAGTGTTATATTTCAGTGGCCAATGTTTATTAGGGCAAGATAGGGATTTCAACTCTAATGTGTTGCTCTAACTTAGTCTTATAGCTGCTTAATATTACAGTTTGTGTGCTGTTTTTTTTCTTTGTTCTGTTGGAAGTTTCAAAACACTTAACAAATTCATAGTAAAATAAATAGTTTCATTAAAAATTCAGCTCATAAACTCGGAAACAAAACAAAATCATCAACACACTACCATAATGGCTCCTAACATATGAAACGGGGTACGAAATTATCTTAATCAAACACGCAAAAAATACTAAACATTAGCAACAACCGCCACAGTGGTAAGCATATAACAGATAAAATGGCTGACATATTATTATGAACTCTTTTTTTTTTTTACTTACACTCAGAAGTTCTTGTTACTAAATACTATCGATAAAAGTGAACGGAAATTATTTTACATTTAGGACTTATATAATTTGCTTAGTCCCTTATCCCCTTTCCCTTAGTAAATGATTAACTAAAAATACTCGAAATTAAAAAAAAAAGCAGAAAATTAAAACAATTAATACTTTCCTTGAAATTGAAATATGAAAGCAAAAAAGAAAACGCTATTGATATGCTTACAAATGTTCTGATACTTTAAAAAATTCTCCATTGGCTTAGTGGTGAGCTTGGGAACTTAAAATGATACAATTCAAGTTCGATCCCTTACATTATTGCTTGATAACAGACATAAAATATTGAAAAAAATTTAAGTACAACTACCCAAAAGAGGGAATGTTGTGAACTGCGAAACCTGTAAAGACTTATCAGATAGCTTAGCTGTAAAACTAAAAAAATGTCATTTTAGTTGTCTGGTTAAGAAACTATACTATCATTTAAAGAAACCGCATAAGAACGGTTGAGTGACAAAAGTATCAATGATAATGATACAAGCTCAAATTTGATCGACCTGTGTATTAAAAATATAAAAAATATTTGGTAAATGTTTTCTTCCGGGGTTGAGCCAGTAAAATTATCAGATGACTTGTCTAGTGACCTAAAACAGTGGTTTCCACATATTTTCCACGTTGGTCCACTCCAGGTAATGACCATAAAGCCAAAGACCAGCCTTGAGCTTGGTGGTGAGAACATCATTTTTCCAAATGCAGTTTTGTTTACTCTTGATAACCGTATTTAGCTGTGTTTAAGACGAGACGTTTTACTCTTAAAACAATGCCTGATTTTATACATGGGTTCAAAGATAAGAGTTCCAGTAAGAACTCTCCGGTTAATAGTAACCAAAACTACATTGTTTCTTTCATTGTTTGAGTAAGTGCGTTGGTTGTGCCACGTACTACGTTACAATAACATATTTGTAATTGTATCATTTGTCTCGATTCATCATAACTAGAATATATTTATCTCACATGCTAGTTACAAGACGTTTTTGACTTGAAATGTATTGATCTCATCCGTCATACTAAAATATTGCTAACATTATATCAAAAAAGTTAGTCTTCGTATGTGCCGAACAGTCAATCTGAGAAAAAAACGTATTAATAAAAATGCTTCTTTTTGTGAGGGAATTTCACGAAAAAGCGGAATTTATTTAGTCGACTGACTGAAAGAAATATTTAATATTTTATTAAATATTAATAGTATTATTCTATTAACTATTAAAATATCAAATAAAGTAGGAGCATGAACGGAAAAAACACATAAAAGAGGAACGTATCTCAGTATATATTTGTTGTTCGTTTATGTTTTGTTTTTTCATGTCGATATTATATACATGCATGATTTTATTGTACCATATCGAATAAACTAATTTGAATTGAACCTAATATCTCCCTTCAGACACTTCTTATAGAAATGACAACTGTCAAAAAGTGTTCAATTCGATGGCGAATTTTTCTTGCGCTCAGTAAAATGATATGGAACGTTGGCGTCCAACGTAAAAAAAAATCCCTGCGGCTGCTTAGCGAAGCTGAACGCCCTATTGTACTGGGATGTACCTTTTGCATCGAAATCCAAACATTTTTGACAACAATGCATTCCAATCAGTATTATTTGCTTAAAAACAAACAAAGTGGAGTTTCCCTTATTAAAATGCCCCCAGTGGTACAGCGGTATGTCTGCAGACTTACAACGCTAGAATCCGTGTTTCGATACCCGCGGTGATCAGAGCACAGATAGCCCATTGCGTAGCTTTGTGCTTAATTACAAACAAACAAACTCCCTTACGAAAATAACACATGGAATGACAAATGACATTTGTAAACGGCCAAATAGACAACCATATTTCAAATGACAAATGACATTTGTAGACAATCATATTTCAAATGAGCTCTGAACCAAGGAATTGGGTTGACTACACATTTTATATTTATTCGCCACCACATTTAGGAATATTACCGTACTGATTGAATAAATAAAGTTGTTTAAACAATTCTCTTTATTCAATTATGACAGGTTTCTTTTTTGTGAGTGTAAAACTCTTAAATACACCAGTTCGATTTTCAATACCTCACTACTATAAAGGCTTAGTTTGGTTTGATATTTTATTGGTGGTAGTGTCCAGGGTCACTGATGAGGAGTGGAATTCTCCGAAACTAGTCTGGCTCACAGACAACACATCTCAATGAAAGAATAGACCATTCCAAGCTTTTACTTGTTGTTAAACAAATGTTTAAACAATTCTCTTTATTCAGTTACCTACAAGCTGCCCAGTGTCGGCTAACAATACGAAGAATTAAATTGTGGCGGAATGCTACAAGTTCTTCAAATACCTATAGAAAGATGGGTTTTTTTTTTGTTGTTGTTTAGTGTAAAACACTTAAATACACCAGTTCGATTACCGTACTGGTAAGAAAATAAACGATTCTCTTCTTTTAAGTGAACTTCCCAGCTGACAATCCCGACCA